TTTTTGAGGAAACTCCATACTGTTCTCCACAGTGGCTGCACCAGTCAGCATTCCCACCAGCAGTGCACAAGGGTTCCTTTTTCTCCGTATCCTTGCCAGCACTTGATGTTTGTTGATTTGTTGATGATAGCCATTCTGACAGGTGTGAGATGGTACTGCATTTTTGTTTTGATTTGCATCTCTCGAATGATTAGTGACTTTGAGCATGTTTTCATATGTCTCTTGGCTTTCCTTATGCCCTCTTTCGAAAAGTATCTATTTAGGTCCGTTGCCCATTTTTTTATTGGGTTGTTTATCTTCCTTTTGTTAAGTTGTAGGAGAGAGTCCAAGGTTTTTTGTCATCCCCCTCCCACCACCCAGCTTTATTGATATAGTTGACATACAAGAATATGTAAGTTTAAGGTTTATGATGTGTTGATTTGATACACTTGTGTATTGCAAAATGATTACTACAAGAGCCTTAGCTAATACACACATTACATCACATAATTACCATTTCTTCTTTTGTGGTGAAAACATTTAAGATCTACTCTCAGTAACTTTCAAGTATATAGTACAGTATTATTAACTATAATCACTATGCTGTACATTAGACCCCCAGAACTTACTCATCTTATAGCTAGAAGTTTGTACTCAAGCTTTCAAGGTTTTTGGTCTGAGCAACTAAAAAGTTGAAATTGCCATAAACTGTGATGGGGAATTCTGTGGAGAAGCAGATTTGGGGGAGGGAATGGAGAGTAGTTTTTTATAGTCCAAATAGTGGTCTATAATCTTTATATTCTGAAGCTCAGCATAAGGCTATTGAATAGTAGGTGTTCATTAACAAATAGATGTTCACTATAATTATTAATTTTGTAAACTTTATAATATACTGTGTTTCACAAAGTAAGATATAAATGTATGGTTTTTGCTGTTTTTGAGTTGGTTTAAGAGTTGGTTTTAGTGTCTACTTGATTACTGTTTCTAACTTGGTCATCTATAATAATAAAAGTGTAATATGCAAATCAACCGAACGGCCAAACAGCAGAACTACCGTCCGGACGACCTTCCAGATGACCTTTTGGACAAAGCCAGGGCTGCGAGGGCCTACCCTTGCACGAGTTTTGTGCATTGGACCTTTAGTGGATAATACAGAAGTTAAGCTACCCTTGATTTTTGTTCCTCTTATAATTTCAAACAAGGGTACTTATACTTAAAAAGAAGGAAATGCACTTGAATTGTTTGATAAACATTAAACAGAGTAATAATCATGTTACTGCCGTCACTGGCAAGAAACATCAGTGTGGATCATGTTATGTTTAGTATGGAACCTCATAAATATTGTGAATATTCTTTGTACTTCTTTTTATGTTAATAAAGGGTTGTCATTTCATAACCCAATGGAAATTCTGCTAAAGTAGATAATTTTTCATTAGAATAAATAATAACGTAGAACATGTGGCCAGTTTAAAGGACGTTTCATATAATACAGTGTTTTGTTCATTTTATAATTCTAATTCCCAGTCACTATAACTCTGCCTTTAAACAAAGAGCAACACATTTGTTTCAAATTAACTGTCAGGACATCTGGACATATCTTTAGGTTTGTCATAGTTATTCTAAATTTAAAATAAAATTTAATTAGCTGTGGAATTTTAAATACATATTTAAGAGAAGAAGGAATGTGATGAAGTGAAATAAACTCTAAAACTGTTAAGAATTACAGATCAACCTACAACAGGGATTTCTGTCTATTTTATGTATAGACAGTGATGCAGCCATTTTTAAAACATTGGTTAATGCTATTTTAATATTAAAATACATGCCATTGTTTTCTGTCACTTATGTTTTTGTGTAATTTGGTCATTCATTCAATCAACAGTTATTGAACACACATAACTCCTTGCTAGAAAGAAAAAGTGCCATTCTTATGCCAAAGAATACTTTGTAAGGTTTGGGAGACAAACATGAGTTGAGGATATAGTAAAGATAAAGATAGAAGGTATTAATACAGCAAATGCCATGTTTTTTTGAGAGCACTAGGAGGAGGAATCTGTGAGGCTTCTTAGGGGAGGTTATTGGAGCTGAGTGTTATGAAATGAGCCAGCCAGTCAAGAAAAGTGTGGAATGAGACCACATTCCAGATAGACAGGACAGTGTGAACAAAGGCAAAAAGATAGGAAGCATCACAGTGTATGTTAACATTTAAAATTTGAGATGTGGAGTGGGTGGAGGTAAAGCTAGAGAAATAGGAGACCTGATCTTAAAGCCCTTGAAGACCACATTAAAGAGATTTTAGCTTGATGGTAAACTATTGAAGAATAATCTTAAGAAGAGTGACATGGTCAAATTTTTGTTTTGAATAGATCACTTTGCCAGCTGTGTGGAGGATGGATTTGAGGGAGACAAGACTGGAGGCAGTAGTCCAGGTGAGAGATGATGGGGATTTGAACTAAGGCATTGGCTATAGAGATGGAGAGGAGGGAATGGATTTGAAAAGAAATAAAACCACAGATTAAAGGCTTATTCTCCTGTAAATATGATAAAAACCAGTTTTAAATTAAAAATGATTGGAGGAGAAAGAGAGACATAATAGAAAAGTTGGTGGCACATAGCTGCTAAAAATAGTTCCAGTTCTTAAGAAAATTGCTACTAGAAGAACAGAGTATTTTTTGTATAATTGACCTGGGCTGTAAAAAGATGGTTTGTGTAGTATGACTAAACTTAAGAACCATAAAGCCTTGAGGAAGAAACCAGGTCTTACAAGGCTTCCACCATTACACATGACAGAAACTCAATAAATGTACATTGTTGGTGATATTTTCTAGAGCATTCATTTAAGTTCCTATTTTACAAAAATGTATCACCAAGGAAAAGAAAATAGGGTAGAATTTTTTTCATTAAAACAACAATTGTAAACTATTATAGACAGCGTTGCATGATAACACAAAATTATTTTGGAATGGTGAGAATATTGTTTGAAACCAAAACATTTTTCTGTTGTTTAACAGGTAATTTTAGGATTTTTTTTCTAGAAGCACTATTTTTACATGTAAATGGAGGATCTGGATTTACACAATATGTACATATTTCTTAAAATCTGTTATCTTTTTCACAATTTGTTTTATATGGACAGAGTAAGGGAAGGAGGGGAGTTTGGGAGGATTTATAAAACATAACTATTCCTTCTTAAAACCACCACTCCACCATAACAAAATATTGTATTTTTATAAAACAAATTGCCAGTTCTGTTTGAGATTCCTTCTTTCCATTTTGAGAAAACTGCTTTTCCTGTTAATTTCTGATTTAGGTGACTGCATATAAATCACAGTTAACTGTGTTCTTTTCATTTTGTCTTTTCTCTATCTTGTTACATTTTCAACAAGTAGATTTCTCTTGTGTTTAGGGGACATTTGCTCATTCTTCATTATTCTACAACTATATAGTATGTCCCTCCCTGGAGCCGTCCATCTATGCCAGCAGCTAAAATACTGCCTACTTACTGAATTCAAATGAATTTCCAGCTGTGAATTTCAGATGAACTCACTGTGAATTTCTTTTTCCTCTTATTTCTTTCAGAAGCCTTGCACCGCCCCTATGGTTGTGATGTTGAACCCCAAGCACTGAACGAGGCCATCAGGTGGAGCTCCAAGGAAAACTTGCTGGGAGCCACTGAGAGTGATCCTAATCTCTTTGTTGCACTTTATGATTTTGTAGCAAGTGGTGATAACACACTCAGCATCACTAAAGGTGAGCTTCTGAGTAATACCCCTTACTTTTCAGTTTTCATTAGTGGATAGGAGATAAAGGGGTCTGTTCTAGATTCTGCCTCTAAAATTAGCTAGGTGATCTGGGCCCAGATGCTTTTGGTTCATAATGGTCTGTTTTTAAAAAGTGAGAATATGTTTTTCATTGATTCTAGAGAGAAGAGGAGAGAGAGGGAGTGAGTGAGGTAGAGGGAGAGAGAGAGAAAAAAAGAAAGGAACATTGATCAGTTGCCTTATGTGCATGCACCCTTCCGGGGCTTGAACCTGAAACCCAGGTATGTGACCTAATTGGGAATCGAACCCCAGACCCTTCAGTGCACAGGGTGGAACTCAAACCACTTAGCAACACCGGCCAGGGTGTAATTTTTTTTTTTAACTTGTGTATGGGGTAATGCCACTTTGTCTACTTTATAGGCTTATTAAGGATAAAATGAGATAAAGTATTTTAGAAAAAACACCATACAATATACACATAAACTTTCCTTATTCTCAGAATTTATATTATATGTAATATGTCAGCATTCATCTGCTTCGGAGGTAGGGTTCACTGTACATCTCTTCTCATTGATTGAATCATGTTGTCCGTGACTGGCTGCCTGTCTGAGAACTGTTTGTTATCAGTTTGCAATGAGATTAAAAATTGTACCCAAAATGCAAACCAACTACATCACCAAGTACACTATTATTTAGTTCAGCTGACATTTCTTTTTTCTTTTTTTTTTTTTTAAGCAAGACTTTCGGCATGAAGAAAGTAGTCTAGTGATTCACAGTCTGACATAAGCCTCTTATCTTATTGTGGACTTGCCGTGAGCAGAATTGGCCTAGGCCAGTGGTCGGCAAACCGCAGCTCGCGAGCCACATGCGGCTCTTTGGCCCCTTGAGTGTGGCTCTTCCACAAAATATCACGTGCGGGTGCACACGTACAGTGCGATTGAAACTTCGTGGCCCGCGCTAACCGGTTTGGCTCAGTGGATAGAGCATTGGCCTGCGGACTGAAGGGTCCCAGGTTCGATCCCGGTCAAGGGCATGTACCCTGGTTGCGGGTACATCCCCAGTAGGGGGTGTGCAGGAGGCAGCTGATCGATGTTTCTCTCTCATCGATGTTTCTAACTCTCTATCCCTCTCCCTCCCTTTCTGTAAAAAATCAATAAAATATATTTAAAAAAAGAAAAAAAAAAGAGAAACTTCGTGGCCCATTGGCAGAAGTAGGTTTTCGGCCTGGGCGAGTCTATTTTGAAGAAGTGGCGTTAGAAGAAGTGGGGGTACGTTCGCTGAGGTTGACCCCTCAGATTGAGGACATTTTTTAGCAAAGGCCAGTTTAGGAGTGCCCTAATTAAGTTAATGACAATGTACCTACCTATATAGTTTAAGTTTAAAAAATTTGGCTCTCAAAAGAAATTTCAATCGTTGTACTGTTGATATTTGGCTTTGTTGACTAATGAGTTTGCCGACCACTGGCCTAGGCAATTTATCTCTCATTTGTGTTTATATGGATCAGTTTATAAGGAACAGTACGAAGTGTTTCTATTGTAGTAATATTCTCAGATTAGTTTATTTCGGTAGTAAATTCTTATAAAAGGGAACACTAAGAACATGACCAAATAAAATCATCCATTATTGGTTTTTTGAACAAGGATAGAAAATATGAAACTTTTATGAGAAAGAAATAGAAGAATGGGAGGTTGTCATTGTGTACATGAATTGGATTGCTAATTTGCCTAAGTTCTTATCTTTTGAACTTACTGGGAAAAAATATATTTCAGGAGAATTTTTCACTCCACAGAACTGTCATGTTAAGTAATTATTTGTCAAACATATGCCTTTTAAAATATATATATTTTTATTGATTTCAGAGAGGAAGGGAGAGGGAGAGAGATAGAAACATCAATGATGAGTGAGAATCATTGATTGGCTGCCTCCTGGGGATCCTACTGAGAGTCGAGCCTGCAACCCAGGCATGTGCTCTGACCAGGAGTCAAACTGTGACCTCCTGGTTCATAGGTTGACTCTCAAACACTGAGCCACACCAGCTGGGCCAAATATATTCCTTTTATTTGTTACGTTCAGAATGAGGTAGATATTAATTGGGAGTGGACATACCAAATTAAGAACATAAGCCTCCATTCAAGGAATGTTACCTTTAAATAAAATTTTTATATATATCAGTTTTTGAAATTTGGCCAGATTCATCAAAAGCAGAAATGCTAAAAACTGAGTTTCTCACCTTAGCTGATTTGACTTAGTGGATAGAGCATTGGTCTGCAGACTGAAGGGTCCCAGGTTTGATTCTGGTCAAGGGCACATGCCCGGGTTGCGGGCTTGATCCCCAGTAGGGGGCGTGCAGGAGGCAGCCAATCAATGATTCTCACTCATCATTGATGTTTGTATCTCCCCCTTCTCCCTTCCTCTCTGAAATAAATAAAAATATTTTTAAATCAAACAAAAAAGCCCTGAGTTTCTCAAACTGGGGTATTAATATGTCCCAGAGTGAGTGTGATGGCATGTGTGCATGAGCCAGGAGGTTCCAAAGGCACAAGAAAAGTAAAGTGCATTATTCCTCGTGTCAATTTACTTAAAGATTTTGGGTAGTTTTGGGGGTGGGATGAATGTGTGAGAGATGTGTGTTTATGCATTGGGAAGAAAGTTTTAGGATAAAACAAAGGACTTCATAGAAATTTATTCTTGTGGTTGTCTTTTTGAGTTACAATAGATCCTGATACGTCAGTGGAGAAGTTTGTGAAGCTGTGACTCAGAACATTCTTTCCTAGATATAATTTGCATGTCAGTATTTTCCGAGATAGCTCAGTCACTGAGGAAACATTGATAAAGTTTATTGAGTCTTCAGTTACCAGTTGTGGCAACCACTAGTGTGCAGCTCAAGGAATAGGATTCCCTTTACCTTACGGCCAGCAGGGATTTCTCATAAAACCAATGAAATGCCAGATTTTTATATCAGGTCCTTATTAATATAAAATAATGTTATGCTAAAGCTTTTTAATTATTTTAAATATAAGATTTAAAAAATAAAATAATTATTATTTTACTTCCCTTTGTTTGAAGATAGTAATTTGCTTGAAGTAAGAAACAAAGTTCTACCAAGATTGCTCTATCAATAGGGTAATGCTTTGTATCCCTACCAGCTCATACCCCTGTCACTTTCCTTCCAGAGTAGAAAATTCTTCTCCTAACTGCCAAAAAGAGGGGAAATCAGACAAAAACCTAGGGTGTTTCACTGTAGCCTAATTTGATTACCGATCATTACCAGTTCTTTATAAGAAAGCAATAATAATATGCTTAGTAAAATACTTAAGTGTTTTATCTTTTCTAGTTCTCAGGGAGTAAAAGAGAAAAGCTACAGCGCAAGTTTTATTTTGTTTTTCTAGCAGTACTAAGATTTTTTTCCCTGTGCGTTTCCACCACCACACTCCTATTTATACATATGTATATTTTATATATACAAAATGCATATGAATCCATACTCCTGTGTTTTTTCTCACTGAATGTCTCATATCCAAGTCTCTTGGGTGAGAGATAGTAAGAGCCAATAGGAAATTATCCTGTGGTAGACATTTCTGTAAACCACTGAGAAAAGTTAGATAACTGTCATAATAATGATTCTGAGTTTTTCCTCAATCGCCTTTGCCTGATAACTGGACCATATGCTCTTGATTGATTTGGCGTTTTTCTGCGTTCTGACACTGAGAAGTGGGTGTGAACTCTATAGGAGGGCTGCATCTCTCAGAGTGAGGGGCCTAAATTGGAAGGATTGTTTAGGTGGTCAGTTATTACTAATGATACCTCATTTGCTTTTCTGTCTTGTCCATGCTGCGAGTGTAGGGGCAAGGTATATGTTGCTGGAGCCTGAAGTTGATGTTTACAACTTTAATGGAGCAATCAAGTACACAGAAGTCATTAGCAAAAGATACTTTGAGTAACTTGAGTCTTGGGTTCCAACATCAGACTCAGCTTCCTTTCCCACACACTAATTTTAGAGGAATGGATAGGAGTGACTCATTCTTCATGGGGAATGGGAGGGAAACTGGGAAACTATATCTATTTAAAACTTGAGTCTTGGAAAAGATTGTGCTTTGAGAGTCCTCACTACTCACTTCCCATCCCCCAAACAATTTTCTTTCTGAAAACATTGCTGAAAGCTCTGTGGTCGGTGCTTTTTTTTTTTTTTTACATTGTTGGTTTTGTTGCCTTGGTGCCATGTGAAATTTAGAAGTAATGTTGTGTTTCCCATAGCTTATCCTTAATCCTTGACTGCTTGTTAACATTGAACCATATAAGATACATTCCTTGACTAACTGTTTTGGGAAGAAAAAATGAACAAAAAAAGGTTTTTGAAGGGTGAGACTATGTCATTTCCAGCCATTTGAGTAATCTTTTTATCTTTGTATACATGGAGTTTTCTAAAGACATTTTTAGTTGGTATAAAAACCTTTGAAAACCTGTAGTAAATGCCAAAATGCCACTTTTAACTATGCTTCTTTTGTTTAAGCTACAAGTTAAAGAGATCAGTGGAGGATATGATCAACAGCCAAGTTTGTTTTCATTATTATTTTTTAAATATTTTTATTGATTTCAGAGAGAAGAAGGGAGAGAGAGATAGAAACATCAGTGATGAGACAGAATCACTGATTGGCTGCCTCCTGGGCATGTGCCCTTTCTTAACTGGAATTGAACCTGGGACCCTGAAGTCTACAGGCCAGCGCTTTATCCACTGAGCCAAACCAGCTAGGGTTGTTTTCATTATTTAAAAACACATTTGTTGGCATAAAAGTTCCTGATTTATTTTTCAATGAGTTTAAAGTTTGATAATAGATTGCTTTTGAGACAAAGTGTTAACATCTCATTCTGTGATAACCTTATGATTAGGTGAAAAGCTACGAGTCCTTGGTTACAATCAGAATGGTGAGTGGAGTGAAGTTCGCTCTAAGAATGGCCAAGGTTGGGTGCCAAGCAACTACATCACCCCAGTAAACAGTCTGGAAAAACATTCCTGGTACCACGGACCTGTGTCACGCAGTGCAGCTGAGTATCTACTCAGCAGTTTAATCAATGGCAGTTTCCTGGTGCGAGAAAGTGAGAGCAGCCCCGGGCAGCTGTCCATTTCGCTCAGGTACGAGGGGCGCGTGTATCACTACAGGATCAATACCACCACAGATGGCAAGGTAAGACTGGCGACCACCTTTAGGTGTGGATGGGCTGCTCCTTAGAAATTATATTCAGAATGACTGAAGAATATAGTTTTTATGTCTGACGAAAGAAAATAATCACTGATGTGAGTTAGGGCTGTTTGGCATGTTAAAGAGAGCTTTTTTCAAAAGAATATGGTAATGGAAATTTAAAACAGTATTATAATAGAAGTTTAATGATGAACTAAATGTGAAGAGTGAAGGAAATTGCTGGATAAGTTAGCTGTTCTAATGATTGTTAATATGTAAATAGACATACATCTAATGCATGGTATAGAATTTATTTTTTAAATATATTTTTATTGATTTCAGAGAGGAAGAGAGAGATAGAAACATCAATGATGAGAGGGAATCATTGATTGGCTGCCTCCTTCATGTTGGATGGAGCCTGCAATCCAGGCATGTGCCCCTGACTGGAATCGAACCTGGGACCCTTCAGTCCACAGGCCAATGCTCTATCCACTGCGCCAAACCGGCGAGGGCTGTATAGAATTTATAAGTTAAATCTTACATCTGAAAATTATAATAAACTCTACAAGAAAGTTAACAGTAAGAATTTAGGCTTCTAAGACTGGTGTTGATCATTAATATATCTCTCTATATATGTGTATGTGTGTATGTATATATAAAAGGCTAAGTGACCGACTGTCCATCTGACCATCTGACCTACTGTCTGACCGACTGACCATTCGGCCGGTACATATGACATGCATTGGCAATTTAAAAATAAACGTTGACTCGCGCATGCGCTATACATATAAAGTTCTCGCTGGCACCAATCGCACGCGTGTTTTAATTTTATAATATATACACTATTTTGACATATAATTTTTTGCAGTAATGTAATTACTGTGTGAATCTTTCTAATTAATTTCCTTTCAATGTGCACGTATCCATGCACCAGGCCACTAGTGTTAATACAAGTAGATGAATCACTTAGCAGTTTACATGTTGGAGAGACCAACCAGTTTAGAATGGTTGTTTTAGAATGTAACGGTTTCACTTTATAAACTATAAAGCATAGGCTTATGTTAGTTCCTCTATTGAACAGTAAATGTAAATTGAATCATTTCTTCCATTCTTTTCCTCTCGGGGATATGCATACTAGGGGAAAAGCACAGGCTCTGGAGCAAGCAGGTCCTGGTTTGCTGTGTAACTCCACCATTTATTTATAACTTTGTGATCTTACATAAACCTCAATTTCCCATCTCACTTTATTGCATTCTTGTGAGGATTAAATGAAATAATTTCCATAAAGCATAATGGCTGGTATAAAGTAGGAAATAAGAAAATTAGGAATTCTCTTTCTCTTTCACACTGTCTTATATTGTCTCTTGATGAAACCAAGTAGAAGCAGATAAGTAATAATATACAAGAGACAGCTCTTCTTCTGGTTATATACCCAACAGAAATGAGTGCATATGTGTACAGAAGGCATGCACAGGAATGTTCATAGCAGTGTCAGTTGTAATAGCCCTAAACTAGACTCTCCTAACTGTCTAACAATAGTGGAATGAACTAATAAATTGTAAAATGCAATCTCATATAACAACAAAGATGACCATAGTACTGATATGCAAACTTAAGGAAAACTATGGCCCGCCAGCTCCCTGTTTTTAAAATAAAATTTTATTGGAATATAGCCACACCCATTTGTTTATGTACTGTCCATGGCTGCTTTCTCATTATTACAGCAAATTTGAGTAGTTTCAACAGAGGTGCTATGGCTAGAAGCCTAAAATATTTTCTGTCTGCCCCTTCACAGAAAAGTTTGCTGATCCCTACCATAGAGGAACCTCACAAATAAAATGGAGCAAAAGGGATCAGTGGTTGTCTGGGAAAGGGATGGGGCAGAGGGAATGACTACTAGGGGGTATGGGTTTCTTTGTGGGGTGAGGAAAACATTCTAGAGTTAGATAGTGGTGATGGTTGGACAGCCTTGTTGAATATACTAAAACCACTAAATAATATACTTGAAAATGGTAAATTTTATGGTATGTAAATTATATCACAATAAAAAAGTTGAGCAATCTAGAAATTTTATAAACAATCTTGGATAAATAGACAATATTTTTGACTATATTAACATTTTAACACTATAAAAATATTATGTAAATCTCTTAAAATTCTGACATTCTACAGTCTGTATTAGACATGCTAGTCTTACAATGTTTTACTTCTGCCTTAAGATTTAAGTTTCTTTTTTTTAAAATATTTTTATTGATTTCTTACAGAGAGGAAGAGAGAGGGATAGAGAGTTAGAAACATCGATGAGAGAAACATCAATCAGCTGCCTCCTACACACCCCCTACTGGGGATGCGCCCGCAACCCAGGCACATGCCCCTGACCGGAATCGAACCTGGGACCCTTCAGTCCGCAGGCCGACGCTCTATCCACTGAGCCAAACCGGCTAGGCAGATTTAAGTTTCTTAAATGTATTTTTGCCTGAATTAAGTGTTAACTTGATGAAAACTTTTAAAATCATCACTTAGTGGGTTCTAATAAATTAAAAATTAAACTTGAAAAAAATTGAGTGAAAGAAAACAGTACGTATTGTATGATTCCATTTGTATAGAGTTAAGAGGCAGGCAAAGGTAATCTAAGGTGCTAAATAGAAGTCAGCAAAATGGTCATCTTTACAGGGGTATATAGATGGGAGAGCACAGGAGAAGCTGCTGGGGTGCTGGTGATGTTATAATTCTTGGTGTGGGAGATGTGAGTTCATTTTATAAAAATCAGTAATTCTCCATTTATTGTACACTTTTCTGTATACATTAAGGCCCAAAGACTGCTATATTACTTTACACTTACTGCCTATCACAGATTAACTACTGTTTTGTTAATAGACCCTCTGAAATAAAATTGTGACTCTTTTTTAAATGGTCTAGACCTGTGGTCGGCAAACTGCGGCTCGCGAGCCACATGCGGCTCTTTGGCCCCTTGAGTGTGGCTCTTCCTAAGTCTTAGGAGTACCCTAATTAAGTTAATAACAATGTACCTACCTATATAGTTTAAGTTTAAAAAATTTGGCTCTCAAAAGAAATTTCAATCGTTGTACTATTGATATTTGGCTCTGTTGACTAATGAGTTTGCCGACCACTGGTCTAGACGCTCAAAAGCACATCGTAATTAAATAAAAATTATAACATTTGATATCCTTGCTCTACCAGAAAAATCGAAACAGTGGTTTTCAAATTATGTTCTGTGCAAGATTCTGAGGGGGTATTTGATAAACTCACAGGAGGTCGAGTTCCCTCTTGCCTACTTTAATCAGAGAATCTCTTCCTTTATTTGTATAATATAGTTGAATTGCATGCTTAAAAAGTATTTGAGGACCAATGATATCAATGATCCAGAAAGCTATCATTGAAGTTTTTCCCCCAAGACTAGAGCTAATTTAGTAAGCATAGGAAGAGTAGGTTAAAAGTAAGATGAAACTGGAATTCTGTGTTATCCCTTACCATCATCATTTAATTCTTTGATTTACCTCAATAAGATAACCTCCTAGCTCTATACCTTCAGATCAATGAAAAAATGGGCTTTAAAAAAATTTTTTGACCCTGGCCGGGTGGCTCAGTTAATTGGAGCATTGTCCTGTACACCAAAGGTTGCGGGTTCAATTCCTGGACAGGGCACATACCTAGGTTGCAGTTTCAATCCCTGGTTGGGGTGCATGTAGGAGGCAACCAGTTGATGTTTCTCTCTCCTTCTCCCTTCCACTCTCTCTAAAAAAAGTGAATAAACATTTCCTTGGGTGAGGGCTTAAAAAAATTTTTTTTGATCTCTTTTCAAGTTGACTTAGCTTTTCTCCTGCCTTTCTCACCAGGTATATGTGACCGCTGAGAGCCGCTTCAGCACCTTAGCAGAGCTTGTCCACCATCACTCCACAGTGGCTGATGGGCTGGTGACAACATTGCACTACCCCGCACCCAAGTGTAACAAGCCTACAGTTTACGGTGTGTCCCCCATCCATGACAAATGGGAAATGGAACGAACAGATATTACCATGAAGCACAAGCTTGGGGGTGGTCAGTATGGAGAGGTTTACGTTGGCGTCTGGAAGAAATACAGCCTGACGGTTGCTGTGAAAACATTGAAGGTGGGTTGCTGAGAATTACAGTGCTCGGGCATCTTCTTCTTTTGTGCTGAATCACTTGGAAATACCAGCATGCCCGCCCCTCTTTAACTGGGGAACACTTTCCACCCACTGTTGCCACCCTGATCAGCACATGGTGATGATCAACCCTAGTGCCATTGCTGACAGTGCAGAGGAAGATTATTCATTGCAGTGCAGTGAAACCCACATGTGGGGAATGTTTGTCTCTGGAGGCTGTTGATGGAGATCTTAGTGGGAGGTTAGAAGCAAATTACTAGTTATAAAGCGAAACAGCTTGTTTTGCTTCCTCAGCACGACCCCTGCTGGACAGAATTCTTCATGCATTGTCTGAGGATCATGGGTACTCTCCCTGGTTTGCTCTTCCCTCCCCCACTCCCTCTCTTTCCCCCTCTCTTCCCCTCTCTCCCTCTCTCTCCCCTTCCCCCCCCCTCCCCCAGGAGAATAGACTACTTCTTGTTCTTAATATTCACAGAAGTCTTTTTCCCTGCACCAGCTCTCCTCTTTAAGCATCCTATCAGATTGCAGGGTTCTCACTCTCATCCCGTTCTCTGAAGATTCTCCCGTGTGCCTCAGTGGCTCTGCCACATCACTCGTAAGGGCTGCTCTTCAGCTCTGAGTCGTGGTCAGTTCTTTTCAGCAAGTGTTTATTAAGCATATTTTGAGTATGAAACAATATTTAAGGCCTTGCAAGCATGCATTGCTCCTTAAAGAATTTGTCAGGAAAACAAACACGTAAACCGCTAACTATTGTCTCCTCTTTGAAAGCTGAGTTTTCTTGGGACATAAACTGTCAGAAAACTGTGTTATCTAGGTCTCCTGTGTGTGCTTCAGCTGTGATAGGATGTGCTTGCTGAATTTTGCTCACCCTGCTAATTTTTACTCATTTTAAATACTGGATAAATTTAACAATATTTTTCTTTCTTAATTGGACTTCTGTAGAGCATATTAGGTTATGATAAGATTTTCGATGTATATGTTAAAATACTCAAAACATACCATTTTTTAAAGCTGAAGTTTTTCACCCTGGCTGGTGGGTTCAGTGGTTAGAGTATCAGTCTTCGCACTGAGGGGTCATGGGTTTGATTCCCAGTCAAGGGCATGTACCTGGGTTGAGGGTTCTATCCGAGGCCCCAGTTGTGTGCATGTAGGAGGCAGCCAATTTATGTGTCTCTCACGTCAATGTTTTTCTCTTACACCCCCTCCCTCCCTCACTCTCCCTCCCTACCACTCTCTCTAAAAATCAGTGGAAAAAAATATCCTCAGTGAGGATTAACAACAACAAAACACCCCCCCCCCCAAAAAAAAAGCTGAAGTTTTAGGATTGTGAGTTGATTCAAATAGTTAAGATGGGGGTTCACTCTGAAATAAATAAATATTCCTCTTCTCTCTTTCTTGTTATTGTTCCCCCTTTTCCAGGAAGATACCATGGAGGTGGAGGAGTTCCTGAAAGAAGCTGCAGTGATGAAGGAAATCAAACATCCTAATCTGGTACAGCTATTAGGTGAGGAAGCTTGCCTAAGCCATAGGTTTCCTCAAAGCTGCTTGTCCCCCAACACCCCATTATCTCCAAATCCTCCCTTAAATCACCATGGTGGAAGCTCCAAGTGTGAATCTACTTCAATAAATGGTTGTTATTTTAATCAACGGGCTCTGTGTTTAAAAGTTGCCTAAGAAACAGTGGCCTGGATTGATTGCAATGTGTAAAACTACCCAGTTTTTGGTGATTGCCCCAGATTCAAAGTTCAGAATCATTTAAAATAATTCCAAATAAAAAAACTATCATAAGCCCTGGCCGTTTTTTCTCAATGGTTAGAGCATTGGCCCTCGGACTGAAGGGTTAAGGGTTTGATTCTGGTCAAGGGCATGTACCTGGGTTATAGGCTCAATCCCCACCCCAGTTGGGGCATGTGTGGGAGGCAACCAATTGATGTGTCTCTCTCACTTCTATGCTTTTCTCTCTCTGTCTCTCCCCCTCCCTTCCACTCTCTTTAAAAATCAATGGGAAAAAGTATCCTTGGGTGAGGATTAACCAAAAAAAAAATAAAAAAAAATCACAAAATAATTTCACAAAGTAGACACTAAACAAAGAACTGTTGAAAAGAAGCAGATTAAAAATTGTGACCACACTCATCAATTTACCTTGATCAACTGAAAATTCTATGCTCTGGTAGATTGATTTCTCACCTGTTCAGGTCACAAAGAAGTCTGTGTCTGAACCCTTTTCAAAATTGGGCCACATTCTTTGGGTGTTCAAATTGAACCCAACTATCCCAAAGGAAATAGTTTCTTGTTGATTCTTTACAAGGAATCTGCCATGTATTTGACTATGGAAACAATTACGATCTTTTTACAAAGTATTACTACAGGCTGGGCTCACATAGTCTTCAACATATGCACAGTTGTGGTTATTTTAGACTAGTGACCTGGTGCACGAAATTTGTGCACATTAAAAGCGAATTAATTAGAGGAAATATTTTAATATTGCTATTTGCTCTTTCTCTATAATAGAAGTGTCAGAGATGAAAGAAAATTAGTAAAATGTATATGAAAATCTTCCTCCTGTCAGAGTCTGGGGTGCGCCACGGGAACCAGAGTCACAGGGGGTGTGGCCTCAGGTCCTCTGGCCCAGCACCAGAGCAGGGGGCATGGCCTGAGGTCCCCTGTCAAGCCCTGCCAGGCGGGGGGTGCACCCTGAGGTCCCCTGTGAAGCCCCGCTGGGCGGGGGAGCGAGCTTCAGGTCCCCTGTCAAGCCCAACCAGGCGGGGGGCGCAGCCTCAGGTCCCCTGCCCCGGCCCAGCGCCACGCAGCCTCAGGTCCCTGCTGATAGCTCATTAAGTCTCATTACGGGGACTCGGCCTCCGCTGTGGGTGCAGCCATCTTGTGTTACGGAATCCCTGCCTCTGATGTGGGTGCAGCCATCCTGACCGTTATGGCATGATGGTCAATTTGCATATTCCCTCTTTATTAGATAAGATTAGATCATTAGCACCTAGTGGAGAATGGGAATCATGGGCATATACAGAACTCTAAAAATTTTGGCCTTCTGACCCCTTATGGAATTAATATAAGTAACTCTGCTTATAGGTTTCCTCAAAGCTGCTTGTCCCTCAACACCCCATTATCTCCAAATCCTCCCTTAAATCACCATGGTGGAAGCTCCAAGTGTGAATCTACTTCAATAAATGGTTGTTATTTTAATCAACGGGCTCTGTGTTTAAAAGTTGCCTAAGAAACAGTGGCCTGGATTGATTGCAATGTGTAAAACTACCCAGCAAATACTCAAGTGCATATGATTTTCCAGAATTATATAATGGAAGTAGAGACTCCCTTATCAACCATCTCATTAACTTGGCTATATTATTGTCAGAGAATGTGATGGCAAGAAGGGAAAAGATTACTGACAAACAAGATTTTTTAAAATTGTTGATTAATTTTGTCAAAGTTGTTTGGAATGTTTGAATATAGATTAACAAAACAAACTTTATTCTTGAATTCTAAGGTGTGTGTACTTTGGAGCCACCATTTTACATTGTGACTGAATACATGCCATATGGGAATCTCCTTGATTATCTCCGAGAATGCAACCGAGAAGAGGTGACTGCAGTTGTACTGCTTTACATGGCCACTCAGATCTCTTCGGCAATGGAATATTTAGAGAAGAAGAATTTCATCCATAGGTGTGTAAACCTGAATATTGTCTGTGATTAACCCGGAAGCTACCTTGCTTGTCATGCAACTAAAGGGAAGAAGGCAAGAACCTCTCCAGAAATTTCCAGATGACTCAGGAAAGGAATTTCCCATTCACAGGGCCCATTATGATGTCATTTCCAACTTATAAACTTATGTGGTCTGATTAAAGTGTTAATGAGAGGCCTTTGCTATTCTCAAAACAGGTCTTTATTTTGCCCAGGACTATATTCAATAGCCTTTTGCTCCATCTAGTAGCTTATTTAAAAAATAGCTTTCTGTCTTAGTGAAGAACTTGAACACTTGTAGACAAGTATCTGTTGCGCACCTCTAAAACCTATCCCAACGTGCACCTCTAAAACCTATCTCAATGTGCAGTTGACTGGAACAACATGAGTTTGAACTGTGAGGGTCCACTTATACACAGATTTTTTTCAATAACTACATATAGTACTGTAAATGTATTTTTTCTTCCTTATGATTTTCTTCTCTCTAGCTTACTTTATTGTAAGAATCCAGTTTATAATACATACATAGCTAACAGTAGTTAGCTACTTTTAGTAGCTGAATTTTGGGGGAGTCAAAAGTATACATGGATTTTTGGCTATGTGGGGGTGTAGTGGGGGTAGAGTGGGTACCTCTAACCCCTGCATTAAGTGTCAACTGTACTTATGAATAGGAACCCGTTTTCTGAAGCCTGCTTTATTCTAGCATCATGTAATTGCCTCTTGATAAGTACTCTACAAGTGATACATAATTAGTGATTTTCTACCATGTTAGTGATTATCTTAAAAACCTACCATATCTGTTAAGCACTTATAAACTCTGCTTGAGGCACAAAGAACCGAGAATAGAGCATTCATGGTCACTTTCCACCTTATCTGAATAGAATCACATTAGGGTTGGTTCTCTTCCTGCAGAGATCTTGCAGCTCGGAACTGCCTAGTGGGAGAAAACCACGTGGTAAAAGTGGCTGACTTCGGCTTAAGTAGATTGATGACTGGAGACACCTACACTGCTCATGCTGGAGCCAAGTTTCCTATTAAATGGACAGCACCAGAGAGCCTTGCCTACAATACCTTCTCAATTAAATCTGATGTCTGGGGTAAGGTTGGAAGGGGCTTTTTTCTGTATGTTATTTTCTTTATATAAATGCTCTTCATTCTCTAGAGCTTATCTTTTACATGGTCAGTCTCCTCTGTCTTTACCCCCACCTCTTCAATCATTCAGCAAGCATTTATTAAATACCTATTATCAGGCATTGTGCTAGGTGCTTGGCATAGAAAGAAGTGTAAAGAAGAAAATAAAAGGAAGTCCTGCTTTAGAGAGCTCACAGTCTAGACTCTCATGTTGCATTGGAGTTCTGAAGATCCTTTAAAGCTCCCTGTTTTCCACATTAGGTATTAGTGCTTGTTTCCAGAGCGCTGGGACACACAGAATAGCATCCTCTTTTCAAGGAAGGCATGCTGAAGTTTCAGCTAGGTTTATCCTGGTAACGACTGCCATGAATTGGTACAAGCCCAGTGGACTGAACCAGTCTGGAAATTTGGATTGTGGGCCAATAGAAATAATTGCAGGATTCTAAGTCACTCTTTACCAGAAATCTCAAACACAGAAATAACCTGTGACAAGATCAAGCAAATTCTTTTTTCTACTGTGAATTTTATCTGATTTCAATCTTATATTTACTCCTCTAATATTAGCTGACATAAAAACTGTGAAACTCATTAATTAGATTATAGATTATTCTAAGAATAGTTTGATTATGCCCCAGACTTCTTGTATGGTCATAGTTTATTTTCCTTCATTGTAGTAAAGGAAGTCTAAATTAAAGGTGGGAAATATAAAGAAAGCCATCTTTATACCTGGTATTTCAGGTCATACCTCAAATGTTCCCATGACAGATATCATAGGAGGAATACTTTTGGTAATTGAATATTATCCAAAATTTGAAAGATAATTACCTAGCGGTGTAAAATAATAATAAATCAGAGAAGAAACATTAAGCTCTTTTTTTTGTCCCTTATGCAGCTTTTGGGGTACTGTTGTGGGAAATTGCTACCTATGGAATGTCACCATATCCAGGTATTGACCTGTCTCAGGTCTATGATCTACTGGAAAAGGGATATCGAATGGAACAGCCTGAAGGATGCCCCCCTAAGGTTTATGAACTTATGAGAGCATGTGAGTATTTTTGCATATTTTAAGTTTAAGGGTCTGAGTCAGCATTTTGGGGATGATTAGCAAAATTAGGAACATTTTTCCTCGTAATGGTGTTAGATTGAATCTAACCACATGGCATATAAAGAGTTGGTCATTGATTAGCCAGTTGGCATGTCATATGCTATACCATTGAGTCTTACTGGAATCCTAAGAATCATTGTCCATGGCTGAAATGTTGAGTCAGTTTCCCAGAAACACTTGCACATTTAATAGGATAAAGAGCCCTGGCCCGTGTGGCTCAGTTGGTTAGGAACATCGTCCTGTACACCAGAGGTGGCAGGCTCGATTCCCAGTCAGGGCACATATTCAGGTTGTGGGTTTGATCCCCAGTCAGGGCACATGTGGGAGGCAGCCAGTTGATGTTTCTCTCGCCCCCCTCTCTCCCTTCCTCTCTCTAAAAGTCAATTAAAATATTTTTAAAAATAGAATAATAAGAAATTGGGTTTGGAGTTAGGTAGGGGAGGACTGCTTTCAACTAGATGGAAATGATTGCTAAAGACTAGATGCACGTAACCTCAGTGATGAATAAACAAAGCACCTTACCCCTTGAAGATGGAAGGTGGTAGTAAAGTGCAGTTGTGTTTGAGCATAAATCTTATTTTCTCATTGAGCATTGGCATTGTCTGCTGCCCTGTCTTCATCAAATATGAACTGCAAGCTCCTCCTTTCGGATAGTCCGTTATATTTCTGAATATGTACAGCTCATGGTTTCTAAGATTAGAGTGAGTTTGAAGACGGGTTTAACTTTTATTTTCCCAGTGAAAAAAACTTGCCATTTTCTAAATTATCTTCCCATCCCTCCTCACCCCTATGTAGAGGGAATAGGAGCGGAGGCTGCATAGAGGGACTTGCCCGAGGAAGTGGGTTCATTATCCTCTGAGCAGAACTGAGAGGCAGCGGCCTCACTATCATTGTGAACATGCTGCAGCTCTGCTTTAAGAGGCACACGTCCTGATGCAGGGGACTCGCTGTCAGGCGCGCCACGGGGTGTCCATTCCTTCGGGGGCTTTAGCATTTCCTCCTTTTGTTACATAGGCTGGAAGTGGAGCCCTGCTGACAGGCCCTCTTTTGCTGAAACACATCAAGCTTTTGAAACCATGTTCCATGACTCCAGCATTTCCGAAGGTAGGAATCTGGTAGTTTATTGGTGGCTAGTTCTGGATAGTGATAATATTTCAAAAATGATGGACTTTTGTAGCTTGGAACTCCATTTCAGGATATTGAATTAATTCTTGGCCTTCATTCTTCTTGTTTTGCTTTTTTTTATTTTTTGCCTTTTTTAATGTCTTGTGTTTCTATCATTTTTAATATTGAAAGTATACTTTAATTGCAAATTAATTCAGTCTCTTCATAAAGAGAGTAAGTTCAGTAGTTCTTTAAGCATTAACACTTATGTAGGGAAGAGAAGGGGGGAAAAATCAGTCTGAAAAATATTCCAGCTCCTTGAACCATACCAGCAAATGCAGAACCAAGTCATAAGAGCAATATCCAGAAATTTTATTTCTAAAAATAGATCCCAAGGAAATAATTAAGGGTGTAAACAAAGATTTAGCTACAAGAATATTCCATCAGAGTATAGTTTATAATACTGAAAAGTTAAGAACAATTTAAATATCTAGTGGGCTGTTAATTATCATATTCATATAATTAAATATTTAAAATGATATTCTTGAATTGACATGGAGAAGAGTTTAGAATGAGCATGCTAAGTTAAGCTGTGAACAGTGTGATCCCTTATCTAAAAACAACAGTATGGACACATATAGGCAGTTTTCTGCTTTTTTGTATACTGCTTCTAAAATTGTCAGCAAAAGTCAAACAATAAACTTGTTATAAAGAGAGACTTTTCCTAAAGAGCTAAAACCACAACATTCTTAGTCAAACTTGCCTATGACACTTTGATATAGTTCCAGAATGTTATACATATTTCTCAAATATTTCCTTTCCTTCATAATTGAACATAGAACTTACTGCTTAAGTTCAAGTTTTAAAATATTAGAAGAAGAAATCAGGCAAGTTGATTTTTGTCTGCTTTCCTCAGTGATTTATCATGTCTAGGTGAGAAGAAAGGGAAAAGTATAGCATCAAATTTAATAGTTAGAATTTACATTCTAGTTCTTTGATGTATGGAATTTCTACAGGTTGGGGAGGGCACAGCTGGCCCTTGGGCAGCTGCCTACCACAGAACTCTTCTCTGTGTGCTTTTTCCTATGGTGTCAAAGTGGTAGAAGTCATGAATATCTTTGGTACTTTTGTGCCAACTTTTAACCTCTGTTGAGTCCTGAGTTAAATATTTCTGCTTCTTTTAAAAATGTTATGTCTTTTTAGAAAATCAGCCCTTATCACTTTTAAGGCTAATTTCAATTCACTACTGCTAAATAAGAAACTTAATGTTATTCAACCCATAATTATTAAGCATTTAATCCAGGGGTCCTCAAACTACGGCCCACGGGCCACATGCAAATACGAATATTGTATTTGTTCTCGTTTTGTTTTTTTACTTCAAAATAAGATATGTGCAGTGTGCATAGGAATTTGTTCAGAGTTTTCTTTTAAACTATAGTCCGGTCCTCCAACGGTCTGAGGGACAGTGAACTGGCCCCCTGTTTAAAAAGTTTGAGGACCCCTGCTTTAATCTGTGGCAAGGGCTATATTAGATCTGAGGACACAGAGATAAGACACAGTGCCTGCCTTTAAAGGATGTACTTATTAGTTGTAAGTGAAGGAAACCTAACTCAAACTTTAAGTAATAAGAGGAGGATTTATTGGCTTATAACCAAACCATGGAAAAATGGGGATGGTGCTAATCTCAGAATCAGTTGAAGCCATGGACTCAAGTAGCTTCAGGTCTTCCTCCTTACCCCTTCCTCTTTCCCAAAGCCACTCGCACCCAACATTTCTTTACTTTTGCTTCTATGTTGATCTCTTCATCAAAATCCTCTAAGTGGCTTTGGACATAGTTGTCAGCATCCTTGAGGTAATGTCTGTCTCCTAGCTGTTTGTATAGCAGTGTAAGAACGAAATCTCATTGTATTGGCTGGTATTATGTGCCATTTACCCACTCTTGTGGGATGCTAATTTTTTAAAATAATTACCAGCCTGGCCAGTGTGGCTCAGCAGCTGAGCATTGACCCAAAAATCAAGAGGTCACTGGTTCGATTCCCCGTCAAAGCACATGCCAGGGTTGTGGGTTCAGTCACCAATAGGAGGCAGCTGATCAGTGATATTGCTCTCTCGTTGATGTTTCTATCTCTCTATCCCTCTCCCTCTCTCTCTAAAACTCAATAAAAACAGCCCTAGCTGGTTTGGCTTAGTGGATAGTGTGTCGGTCTGCAGACTGAAGGGTCCTGGTTTTGATTCTGGTCAAGGGCACGCACATGCCTGGGTTGTGGGCTCGATCTCCAATAGGGGGCGTGCAGGAGGCAGCTGATCAGTGACTCTCATCATTGATGTTTCTATCTCTCTCCTCCCTTCCTCTCTGAAATCAATAAAAATATGTTTAAAAAAACTCAATAAAAACATATTTAAAAATAATAATTACCAAAAGATGTTATAAAATAATTACAGAATTTCACAATTTAATTGATCCTTTGGCCTTCATTTTTGTTTAGAAATGAATAGCAAATTATGTATTTGCCTCAGGAAAAGCCACAGAAGCCATGGCCAGGTTTAGTCAACAAAGGTCACTAATGGCTCAACCTTTTTTCAAGACTCTCATTTGCATAAAATGGAATGTATCTACCCTCCTTTTTAGTACAAGGTGCAACCGAAAAATAAAGGCATCTGTAGACATCTGTCTGCTTTGTTCAACTTCTGAATAGGAACTAGTAAGCGAGGATAGCTAAATGACCAGTAAGCATATGAAGCCATGCTCAATATCATTCCTCATCAGAGAAGTACAAAATAAAACAATGAAATCCCTTTACATACCTACCCCAGAATGGCTAAAAGGAAAATCGAACAAAAAACCTCATAACATAAAATGGGCGAGTATGCAGAGTAACCAGAATTTTATACGTTGCTAGTGGGAGTGTAGATTGGTACAGGCATTTGGAGAGATAGTTCAGCAGGAAAAAGCTGAATTTATATGCACCTCATGACCACGCATCCTGCTTATGCAATTGTGAAGCAAAAGTTGTAGCAGAATGGTCCCTAGCAACGTATTCATAATAGCCAAACACTGGAAACAAATAGGTGAATTTTGGTATATTCATTCTCACATTTGAACAGTACACAGGAATGAGGAAAAACCCTGCCACGCAATAATATTGATGAATCTGTAGATGTAATGTTGAGCAAAAGAAGCCAGACAGAAATAGAGCGCATCTCTGTGATCCATTTACACATCTTAGCACTCTCCAGTTCTTCCGCAGCTGTACGCCTTTTCTGAAAAGAACTCCTTCGCTCTGTCATGAAGTTGTTCTTTTTATCAGTCTCCTTGTCTTCCTCACAGAGGTAGCTGAGGAGCTTGGGAGGGCCGCTGCCGCCTCATCTGTCGTCCCCTACCTGCCCCGATTACCTATTCTTCCTTCCAAGACCCGGACACTGAAGAAACAAGTGGAGAACAAGGAGAATATCGAAGGGTCCCTAGATGCCACCGACAATTCTGCTTCCAGTTCAGCACCAGGTATGGGTCCCAAGGCAGGCAGAGTCATTCTGTCTTGTTTAAAGAACCAAGGGTTATGGTGCTTCTGTTCGCGCTTCCCTGCCCGTCTTCCCGAGGAAAGTGTGACTGGCATCCATTTTACCTACCACTCTAGTCCTCAGCTCTGCATCAGTGTTAGGAGTCCTCATCTATCCACTCGCATGCAGGCGTGCCTCCCACTCCATTCCCTTAGCTCCGGATTCCCAAATGCTTAGCTTCTTTGCAGTTCTGACAAACACTTCTTTAGTGAACCTGATATTGAGGGCAGTTTGTATGGTAGCTTTTGGAGAAAAGATGAAGGCCAAGGCAAACACCAGCAGGGTTTTTCTTTCCATTTACATCCCATATCACATTTGGAATACTGATTAATGTGAAAGGGTAATTAATATATGTATTAGTTTCCTCTGAGTCTGGCTATCACCTGGCATTGAATAGATGCTGACAAAACTCTTACAGTTCAGCCTTAGTAACTCAAGTGTAACGGAGTGCCTGCTTGTCTTTCACATTACTGATTGGCCGTTTCTCATCAGGGTTCATTAGAAGTGCACAGGTCCCCAGTGGGTCCCCAGCACTGCCTCGAAAACAAAGAGACAAGTCACCCAGCAGCCTCTTGGAAGATGCTAAAGAGACGTGCTTCACCAGGGATAGGAAGGGAGGCTTCTTCAGCTCCTTCATGAAAAAGAGAAATGCTCCCACACCCCCCAAACGCAGCAGCTCCTTCCGAGAAATGGAGAATCAGCCCCACAAGAAATATGAACTCACGGGTAACTTCTCATCTGTTGCTTCTCTACAGCATGCTGATGGGTTCTCTTTCACTCCTGCCCAGCAAGAGGCGAATCTGGTGCCCCCCAAGTGCTATGGGGGGAGCTTTGCACAGAGGAACCTCTGTAATGACGACGGTGGCGGGGGTGGGGGCAGTGGCACTGCAGGGGGTGGGTGGTCTGGCATCACAGGCTTCTTTACACCACGTTTAATCAAAAAGACACTGGGCTTACGAGCAGGTAAACCCACAGCCAGTGATGACACTTCCAAGCCTTTTCCAAGGTCAAACTCTACATCTTCCATGTCCTCAGGGCTTCCAGAGCAGGATAGGATGGCAATGACCCTTCCCAGGAACTGCCAGAGGTCCAAAATCCAGCTGGAAAGGACAGTGTCCACCTCTTCTCAGCCAGAAGAGAGTGTGGACAGGGCCAATGACACACCTCCCAAAAAGTCAGAGGAAGGTGCTGCTCCAACCAGGGAGAGACCAAAAGCCAAACTTTTGCCCAGAGGAACCACAGCTCTTCCCCTAAGAAGCCCCTCTGGGGATCCAGCCATTACAGAGAAGGACTGTCCAGGGGTGGGGGCAGCTGGAGTGGCAGCTGCCCCAAAGAGCAAGGAGAGGAATGGTGGGGCACGACTTGGCATGGCTGGAGTCCCAGAGGATGGCGAGCAGACAGGCTGGGCTTCTCCAGCCAAGGTTGCGGCCATGCTCCCCACCACACACAACCACAAAGTGCCCGTCCTCATCTCCCCCACTCTGAAGCACACTCCAGCCGACGTGCAGCTCATTGGCACAGACTCTCAGGGGAACAAATTCAAGCTCTTATCTGAGCATCAGGTCACATCCTCTGGAGACAAAGACCGACCCCGACGGGTAAAACCAAAGTGTGCCCCACCCCCACCACCAGTGATGAGACTACTGCAGCATCCGTCCGTGTGCTCAGACCCCTCGGAAGAGCTGGCAGCCCCGGCTGCCGGACAGCCCACGTCAGAAACACAGGAAGGAGGGAAAAAGGCAGCTCCAGGGGCAGTGCCCACCAGTGGGAAAGCTGGGAGGCCTGTGGTGCCTCCACCTCAAGTGCCTCTGCCCACATCTTCCATCTCGCCAGCCAAAATGGCCAACGGCACAGCAGGTACTAAAGTGGCTCTGAGGAAAACCAAACAGGCAGCTGAGAAAATCTCCGCAGACAAAATCAGCAAAGAGGCCCTGCTGGAATGTGCTGATCTGTTGTCCAGTGCCATCTCAGAACCAGTGCCCAACAGCCAGCTGGTGGACACTGGGCACCAGCTGCTTGACTACTGCTCAGGCTACGTGGACTGCATCCCTCAAACTCGCAACAAGTTTGCCTTCAGAGAGGCCGTGAGCAAACTGGAACTCAGCCTGCAGGAGCTGCAGGTGTCTTCAGCCACTGCGGGCGTGCCTGGGGCAAATCCTGTCCTTAATAACTTACTATCGTGTGTACAGGAAATCAGCGATGTGGTGCAGAGGTAGCCACTGTTAGCCTACTGGAAGAGGCACACGTTTCTGAGGGGACGGGAAGGGACTTGTTTTCCTGTGTTCTTGTTTTCAAAAAATGAAAGACTGATACTTGAGTGTGTTTATGTGAAGTACCTCAGCTCTCTGAGATCTCACGTTTACAGGTTCATCTCAAAAATAACAAAAAGCAAAACTCATAGGAGAGGGAAATTGGAGGGATTGGGCGGTGGTGGGCAGGATGGGAAGCTGCACTGGAATATCAGGGAATGTGTATACGTGGTGCGGTGAAGAACCAAATCCAGCCATTCTGACCTGGAATGATGCGAGGTGGTTAGACAGGGCTGCCCTTGGCAGTGCCGGGAGACTGCCCAGACGGGCCTGGCTGCGGCACCCGTCTGTCCCGCACAGAGGGAACGGGCTTAGGGCTCCGGGAGGTACTAATGATTATGTTCACCTCACCCAGGGAAGTCAGTGGAACAGAAGAAAGGAAAGCTGGGAAGGTGCTAAGTGAAGTTTCATCCAAGGCTGTTGGAAGCAGCTATTAGCCTTGCTTCCCCAAGGTCACTTGCTGCAGTAAGAACCGCAAATCAAATTGCTGGAATGACAAAACCGGGAAAGGTGACCCTGTCTGTTGCTCCTCTCCTGTTTTCCATTGGTGTGTTAATTGGAGCTGCAAGTAAAGAAATCTAGGAAGTACAGTCAGGGAGCTTGAAAGCTCCTAAAATCTCACATTGATCAGCACAAGTCACTTCTCCCAGTCTAGTGTGTTATTTCCTAACAGACCAGGATTATAGGGGTCTCTAGTGGTTCTTCTCTGCCCCCTGCTGGGCAGGCTGTCTTCCTTATTCCTGGCTCTTTCAGGCATTAACCAACATTGATTTTGAAATTAGTGGTCATGGACAGGTTCTCACAGGGAATCCTTTTCTGATACAGTGCCCCTGCATACTGACATGCTAGTCAAGGACTTGGGGAGCTGTGTATTTTGTTATCAACTAAATCTCCAAGAAAGGGGCTCTTCTTGGAACCCAACAGCCAGGCCCAGAGACCTATGACTGAGGAGAGGCTGGTTTGGTCCTAGTGGCTGTTTCTCTGTACCTCTCCCTTCATCACCTTAGACCCAATCTGGGTAGAAAGTAGAGAGAAGCACACACACACACTCTCTCTGGATTTCAAATGAATCACCCTAAATTTTTCTCACATGCCTTTCTCCTTTCACAGTCCCCCCTCCCTCCATCGTTGTGCTTGTTTGTAAAGATCACATTGGGAATATTCTTTGATATTTATTTTAATATCATATTTTAAGAGTGTATAATTGAAGGAGCATGTCATTTCTAGGGAAAACCAATTAGATCCTGGAAATCTAATGACTTAACCCTCAAATATATTTTGCCTTTGAAAAATAGGCCTTTTCCTTCCCTACTCATTAATTAGCTTTCATTATTATGGAAGCTAATTAGGATCGCAGGGAGCTGAATCTAATCGGTAGATGTTATTAATATTCTCATTATCAGGTCTAATCCCAGTTACCACTTCATTCTGTTTTTAAAGCTTTGTGACTCCCTCCCCAAGGAGAACCCAATACAAAAAAATAAATACATTATTTTTTTCCTTCCAAAGGAATATTAACTTAGGAAGATAGGAATTCAGCATTGGTGAGCAGTGAATTTTCTTCCTGCCTCTGTCATCGATCCACTGTCAAGCCACAGCCCCGTCTCTAAATCTGTTAAATGAAGGTAATGATTCGTGTTCTCATGGGTGTTTCACAAATAAGGGCGTAGTGCTCCCTCTGAGAGCCTCCCTACAAAGCTATTCAGTGCAGTGGTGTTGCCTTGAATGGTTTTCAGTCTCTTCTGTGCTCAGTAGCAAGTCATGAAATTTAGAGCTGTTGAGATTACATTAATTGGGCTAGAATACTAATAGGGAAAAACTATGTTTTAGACAGAGTTTGACATCTTTGACCAAGGAGGACATTTAGTTTTCATCAGAAAGAAAGGAAACCTTGATTCTTATCATGGCTGCTCGAAAGGAGGCCCAGGCCCAGGGAAGGGTTTGAAGGGAGGGGGCAGTCCTGGGCATTCCTTGCTGGGTGGTGGTCTCTGTCTGACACCGGAAGATGCAGCATAGGCAGCTAGTGATGTGCTTAGTCTCCTTGCAGCGGTTGGAAGAGAAGCTCGAGTTCCTTTCAATGTGGATTTAAAGACCAACAGTCCCGCTCCTATCTCCTTCCTCGCCACTTCCCTTCATTATACACTTCCGTAAACTTGAAATCGTTTTAGCAATTAGCCTTTTAAGGGTGGGGCAGGGAAAGCTAAAACTTTAGACTATTTTATGCTGCTTTTTAAGTTTATCCTGTCATTATGGGATGCCAGTTGAGGGATTATAATTGTTTTTCAGGGGATTTTTTTTTTCCTAAGCAAGGGATCTTTCATGGAGAGCTCTGAGAATAAGCCTTGGAGGAACACTACTGAGTGTATTTAAGCTCCAGATTTCTCACCGAAATAGTCTTGAGGGTGGGGGCTGTGTCTTACTCAGGGGTGGCACCTGGCTCTATCTTGCCTACAGTAGGTGCTCAGTAAGTTAATGATTGAGTTTTTTCAACACTGTCAATAGTAACATTGACTTTTGCAGCACCCCCATCCACATGATGCTTGAACTGTGGAACTTCAGGAGTTGAGAGCTCAGGGTTAAGGGTTAAAGAGGCACTGTCAACTTACAAAAGTCTAATAGAGGTTTTTCCTTTTTCTACTTGAAAAGGACCAGATTTAAAAAATAACCTTATGTAAATTTAAAAGTTTGAATTCAAAGCAGAGAAAACTGCTTTTTAGAAATTAAAAATGTAGTTGAATTCTAATCGGTTTAAAAGCAAAGCAGAGAGCAGGAGCAAAAAGACAAAATGTTGAAAACTTTCTAAAGTTATACACACACACACACACACACACACACACACACACACACACACCCCTTTGGGCTATGACAGTTTGAATCCTTTCATATACAGATAATACAATTTCAGCTTAGATTTCCTACCTTAAAATGCAATATTTTGTGTAGAATACATCTTTATTGTGCTTTACATGAAGTATTTTCTTAAAAGGCTTTGTGTAAAATTAAAATGTGTGTATTTTCTATTGACTGCCCTCGTAATTTTCAGAGATATAGCCTTAAAACAATTGGCCCTAAGAAGTTCTTTCAGTGTTTTTCCAGATGACCTCTGCACATTGAGGTCTTTATGTGGAGCCACTTGCCCAGCTGCATTTTGGGTTTTAAATTAGAATTTTCTTATAATTCAATTGAAAGTTGGCTAATAAAATAGTGCCCGGTTAATAAAATATGCTCTGCTAAGGCATAGCCCATATTTATTTAAGTAACGTCATGGAGCTTTTGAGTTGGGGATAGAGTATAGTCGGTGATTAAGAGTTCAGACTCTAAAGCCAGTCCAGGGGCAAGTCATTTAATCGTCCTGAGCCGTAGTTTCCTCATTGGAAAACAGGGATGATAATAGTAACTACCTCAGGTTGCCATAAGGATTAAATGATAATATATGTAAGATACTTAGCTCAGTGCCCGGCACATGCTGAGCACTCCATAAATGTCAATGACCACTATTATTACTAACAAACTTAGTCCAGTGACTCTTAGCCAGGATTGTGCAACAAAATCCTCTGCGTTTAAAAACAAAATAAAATCTGATGCATTGATCAGAATTCCCAGTGGGGTGAGGGCTCAGCCGGTGTGTTTTACAAGAACCCGGCCAGGTGTTTCCGACACTTGTCAGCATCCCACTTTTTTCCTTATAGCTTAAGACTGGAAGAGAAGACAGTTACTCGCTGTGGATCTCAGCAGTTAATTAGTGGCAGAGCCAAGGCTACAGTTCACTCTCTTGATTTTCTGGTTGTGGGGTCCCTCCCCATTCCTGCTGCCTTGTGAGACACTGCAGAGAAAGTGGCTCAGATAGACAATCAGTCTGCACAGCGCTGCACACCCTAAAGCACACGCTCCTGGCACCCTCTGACCTTAAGGGGCTTGAATGCCGAGTGATGGCAATACTAGCTAAACAGGCAATCTGTAGATGTCAGTAACTTAAACACTGTGTGGAGTCATTCTTTGGGACAGAGCTCAGCGGCACCGCGATCTGCACTTTGTAATAAAGAAATACCAACTTAAGTTCTAAAACCTTGTCCTACATTCCTCTTTCCTCAGAAAATAGCAACATAAAATTTTATTCTGTGCCATTTTAATGATGGAAATAATGTATATGAAAGCACTTTGAGGAAAAAGTATCAAATGTAATATAACTATAAGGTCATATTATCAATGTCTATTTAAAAGTTAAAGCAGTTGGTTACATGCTGATCGACTTACAGGCTTTTACCTGTGTGGGACCTGAAAATGCAGATACGTAAGCAGTCACCTCTGTAACTTACGGCATTTATAAATATGAAACTGCTAAATGACTATGTGCAGGTATAGTAAGTGTTTTACTGAAATTGTAGCTTAATGTTGAATAACTTCAGAAAACTAGGGACCAACTTTCTGGTTTAAGTATAATCATTAAAAAGTAACAATGGGCACTCACTCCACAACAGAGAAGCTCTTCCAGGCACCTGACTCAAGAAGAAGGGGGCCCTGTTGGTTGTGAGCCTTTGTCCACTACACATCCAGTCATCTAGCATCTAAATGTGGCAGCAGCAGACACATTGCCTGTTGATGTTGACAGTGTCTTTTTTAACCTGTGTCCTGCGTGGGGTTTTTGTTGTTGTTGTTTTCCTGCGGGACAAGGGGTTTGGGGGTGAGAGGAGATTGGATGGCTATAGAACCAGAGCGTTTTAGGATTTCCTATCAGTTATAAATGAGCTTGACATTCATCATCCATGTTTATTTTTTTCTAAGAAGAGTAGCTGAATATAACTCACCTGTTAGATGATAAAATACCCAAGAGTAAACTGCATTGGTGGCCACTTTGAGTGACAGCTGCACTGTATTCTGACATCTCCTATTCCCTTCCATGTTTGCTACTGATGTCATCACTGCTCTCAGGCTCTGCTCCCACATTGGGCTGACAGGGTTGTCTGCAGTTTTGTTCTTGATGACTTCTGGGTTTCAGCATCTTGCTTGCATTAGTTTGGGATCCATCTCTCTGTCCTTAGCCTTTATGACCAGTCCTCTTTATGTAGGTGGGTCTCTAGACAGAAGTTTCTAATGTATTTGTTAAAGACTCCAGCTGTCTATATCTCTGTCTTAGCTTCTGTCAAGCCAGTAGCTCGGTTCTTTTGTAAATTCCTGATTCATTTTGAGATCTGTGGGAGCAAGAGAGAGAGAGAGAGAGAAAGGCAGCCCCAAGGGCACCTGACAATCCAGGGAAGTAGCTGGTCGCCACAGCCTCGTCACAGAGGAAGGCCTTGGGCTGGTTCTAAAACGTGTCCTACTGTTAACAGGATATTTATATCCTTGGGGTAGAGTTTCAGTTTTCCAACTCCCAGACTTTAAAAAAAATCTAATGTAAGGCTTGCTTTTTCGGGCAGGTCAATAGTGCCTGGTGTAACAGTTACCATTACCTGCTCTGTTACCATGGGCCTCCACTGCCCACCCCGTTCTCCTGTGTCACTGGGGAAGCATGGGTGATTTCAGGGCTTCTCAGTAACTGTTTTCGCTCCAGCCTGCCTTTCGTGGAGTTTACTGCAATGTCCAAAAAGATGAGCTTCTGTTCTGGTCCTGCTGCCTTTCATGCCACCCACCTGAGGTATAAGTTATATCTTGAGATAACGTGTATGCAAGATGACTCCGTGTCCTAGATCCAAAGGACAGGAAATTGGGGAAGGCTTCACCTGTGATTATCAGGGTAGGACAATCCCATGCTGCTCCCCTGGGGAGGAGGCCTGGCAGCTCATCTTGCTTTTAGCTGACTTGGGAGGCGTGGGGATGACTCCAAGAGGATTGTGCCTTCAAGGATGGGTTTCATGTGTTCTGCAGAGGAAAAGACTTGTCATCCCGGTTGAAGTTGCAAGTTGCTGAACTGGTAGAAATGAACATGCTGGTTGCAGTGGCTCAGAGCCCTGGTCAGGGAGAGTCCCCATTTGGAAGTTCTCCCCACACGGCCACTGCTCTTCTCTCCGTCCTGCTGGTGAGTGGGGGAAGGATGCTCTAACTGCACCCTTCCCTCCCTCCAGGTCACTAACTCCTTTGCCCCTATGTACCATTATACATTTGAAATTGTTTACCTCTCCTAGAAAAAGTATATCCTTTAATCTCCTCATTGCTGAGCAATCTGAACACAGTAGCAAGGCCTTGTTAACTCAACCCGCAGTCACAGGTGGTGTGTGAGCAGATCTTCAAACCTGCAGACCCTCTAAATTGGGTGGGGAACCTTTTTTCTGCCACAGGCCATTTGGCTATTTATAACATCATTTGAGCGCCATACAAAATGATCAACTTAAAAAGTATGTTGCTATGGAAAAGCTTCTAGATTTACTGAATTTTTAGTCCCGCCTGTGGTTGCCTTGGCAGGGCCAGACCAAATGGTACGGCCGGCTGTTCCCCACCCCTGCTCTGAGGAAAGGATAGCTCCTGTAAGTTGAAAGGCTAGACCAATACTGTCCGCAGACCACACCTTATCCCACCCTGTGTCTGTTCTTTGTTCATCGTACTGAAAGCAGCAAGTTTCTGGGTCCTACCTGTCACTCATACTTCTGAGCTGTACACACAGGGCATGAGGTCTTCGAGCATTCTAGTTAGTTTTTTTGGATATGGTGGAAATGAACTGTCAAATGCTAGCAGACTTAAAGGAAATATAATGTCTGGTTGGAGCTTGTTTAGATTTGCTTCTGAGTCTTAAGATGGTTTTAAATCATGTGTTTAAGCACCGTAAACTTTAGTTGGAGAATGGGACTTCTGGTTAATAAAATAACCATATGTAAGGATAGTTAATTTCAGCAATTATAACAATAACACAGGTATGCCAGATGTATTCTAGATTCAGAAGATATTGCAGGAGCGGCGTTGCTTTAGGTGATCGGTGTTGCATCCCAGCCACTATTCTGTATGGTTCAGAGTGGCAGCACTGCCCAGAGGCAGAGATGCTTCTGGTAGATGAGGCCTGGATTTTCTCCATTGACAAGCTATTTTACACTATGGCCACTGTTTTTGGAACTCTTTTATGAGAGAAATTTTCAGAGATTTGGAGAAGTCACCTTGATTAGGCTGATTGTCCTTGAGAGAAATTAGTATTCAGAAGCTGGAAAGGACAATGAGGTACTCATAGCTATTTAGGGCGTATGCTTGAAAACCCTCACATCTCAGGTCTGTGTAGAGGGAACATGCCATGTCCACGTTATGTGCGTACCCTGTTGTCGTGCTCACTAAGAAAGGAGGGGTAAGAAAGGGAGTTAATCCAACCCTGGTTGGTGTGTTTGCCGAGAACAGGCTGCCTGAGCTGTTGGTCTGTGCTCAGAGCCTGTCTCCTGGGTGTACCCCATACTCTTCCTTCTCTGCAGTTTGATTCTGTGACTGTCAGTGGAGGAACCCAGTTTTATGTTCACTTGGCACAAGTAAATTTGAATATTTTGTGGTGGTTGACAGAATTTTGTCCTAAAACATAGGCTTCAGATTCTTTAAAACTTGTTCAACGTTTATACCAAAGGTCACGCTCTGCAGGTGCATGTGTGTTGGGTGCACATGAGGGTGAGGTCTGGAGGGCCTGGCACTGTGCGCGTTGCTAAGGGAACACAGTGAGACAACACGGGATGTAATGAAAACACATCAGTCATGGGTCACACTGCCGGTGTCGTCAGGTGTTTGCTCTTGTTATTGTAATATATTTTCAGGTGTTTTGTTTTCTAATTTAATTCTCTCGCCCTGTTGTCTGACTGTGAACTGCTAACAGTGTTAAACTTGATGTAAATAAATGAGGCCCTTGAAAGGGGAATGCTGTCTGCCTGTTGTCTCACAAGGCTTGCCAACTTGTGTTTCATTTTAATAAAGGTTGCAATATTTTATTGGCAAAGGAGGCTTTTGATTGGAGTGTTTCTCCCATCGTTTTAACTGACAGGGAATCTGAGCATCATTTGTCTCTCTGTGTGGAATAGATGTCTGTAAGGTAAAGAAGCTGGGTTTAGCAATCATCCCTCTGGTACATGCTGTAGAGTGTCCTCTGTGGGGGTGAATACTTCTCCTTTGATGGATTCCAAAGGCATCGTCTGGAGCCCAGCTGGTACATCAGGTGGGTGTGTGTGTGTGTGTCTGTCTGTCCAATGTGAGTTGACTGTAAAATGAGACGTAATTCTTTCCAAGTCCATTTTGAGGACAACTACAAATAAGTTCTAAAAGTATTTTGAGCCCAAGCAGCATGAAAAGAGTAAGTAGAACCTCACAGGGAACATTCTGTTCTTTTTTGACTTGATTTCAGAGTATTTTAACAGTGAGCCATTGCTTTTAGATGTCATGTTTCATTGGGTAAGAGTAGAATGCGCTCAGGTGGTGCCCCGTGAGGTCATTAGTGGCTGTTAAACATCAGCTTGTAAACCTCTCACTCCGCCTGCTGTGGTTTAGTTCAGGAGAACCTTGTTCTAGTTTTCAGAGAAGACACGTTGTGCTCTTCGCCCTGCTTCCTATTACGGGGACATTTCCATACCTGAAGCTGTGGCATTTGCTGAGGAAATTATTTTATCCTTTTATTTTTGCAGAGGAAATCTGGAAATTGTTTTAGAAACAAGTCATTGAAGCACAAGAGCTGGAGTCGGACTGCCTGGGTTGAACTCCCCTCTCCTGGCTAGAGCTCTGTGACTTTCCAAAGACATTTCACCTCTCGGAGTCCAGTTTTCTTTTATTAAACAGCGAGGGAGTTGGTCCCTAAGTCATAGTGTTCAAGATGATATGATTGTAAAGTGCTTAGCACAGGGCACAGTACACGGTAAGTTCTCAAATGTTGGTCACCCAGCCAGGGCTCCAAGAACTAGAATGGAGAAGGGCAGCCTTGGCTTACAGTGTCGTGTCAAAACTGACAGCAGTTTTACTAAGTTTTTATTGTTCTGTTACCCGAGCACTTGATCAGTATTAACCAGTTTAATCCTCACAGCAACCCTAGTTGTAAGTTGTGCTCACTTTGACAAAAGTGGAAACCAAGATTATGCTGGGGTTAACAGCTTCCTATCATCGCACAGTGGAATGTGGCTGAGCCAAGGCACTCGGGCCCACAGAAGTGTTCAAAACCACGGAGTTCCGCTGTTTGCCTTGGTTCCCGGGCTGTAAGAGGTTTCGACCTATCCTTAGGACATGAGACATGGCTGGCCAGTGCAGGAAGGATGTCAGCTGTGACTCAAACCTGACGCTATCGAATGTACCTGTTACAATGTGTATTGCAGTTTAGAGCTGGGTATGTAAGAGGGTCAGGTGGCCTGCACATTCCTCCCCAGGTGCTCTAGCCTGAGACAGTGAAGACACCGGCCCATCTAACCGGTGCAGTTAAGTCAGGTTTACTTTTGTCCCACGAGTGGTTTGAAACTGACTTCCTTCAACCATTTATTTGACTGTTTATTGGGGATCTGCTGTGGCTCGGGCTGGGTGCTCCCTAACCAGGAGGCAGCTATTTGAGTGAGTGAGGACTATGAAGTGTCCCGTGGGGAGAGAGAGAAGTCTGTCACTTCACCTGGGCTCATGGGGAGAAGGCTGGGGAGGGCTTTAAATGAGAGGTGATGACAGATCCAGCGACCTGTATGTAATTCCAAGTGTGCAGGGGAGAAACGTGAGCACTCCTCAGTGTACATGTGGTCATTCAGTCCTTAAAAATGACTTTTCTCTTCAAAGCTGGGAGCATGGAGTGACATTTTCTTATAGAAGAGCAATATGAAGGAAGCTTTTTCAGTACGAAGTTGAAGTAAACCGGCAGACCAGACACCTGGTGTCAGCTCGGTGAGTCCCAGCATTTGCTGGAGTTACTCCCCCCCCCATCAGCGTTACCTGGCATCTGGAATTTTGCTGAGTGAACAGGATTACTAGGTCCTACTAAGAAAGTAGGCTGAAGGTTTTAGCAAAATAGAAAATTTTAATATTTACATATGGCACAGTGATGTCAAGGCCCCTAACTTTAAAAATATTTTTTTAACCTGCAGAGCAGAACAAATCTCAGCCTACACTGACATGATTTTTTAAAAAATTATTCTGTACCTTTTTTTTTCCAGCCCGAGGCTCTCCCCTGCTGTGCTCACAGATATAAGCTGCTCAGCTTCCCCCTGAGATTAACGACCTGAAAGGCGGCCCCACCCACCACAGGTAAGAGAACTCCTTTTCCCTTCCGGTCACTGAGAATCCTGCAGCCTCAGGCCTCACACCCAAGTCCAAGCAGCTGCAGGCAAGAGCAGAGATGCTAAAAAGCCCCTGGGATGAGTTTCTCTCCCACTTGGTGCTCTCCAGCCACCTGGCCCACATTTTGGAATGTGGCTCTGGCTTCTGATTTAAGGCCTTCCTTATATACACCACGTGTGTGAGTGATGGGCGTCTACTGACCCCAGCCAGGGTCCTGTTAGGCAGCTTCAAGTTTTCATCTTGCTCTCAAGGCAGGAAATAGTTAATTCTCTGGGAAACAGATTTGCATCCTTGAGAAGAAAAGATTTGTTCCTCTTTGGGGACATACACCATCATCTTGGCAATTTCGTCCAGTGCCTCTTCTGTATACAGGAGCTCCTGGCTCAGGAAAGCATCACGTGCACACAGCCTCACGTGGTGGTACTCCAGTGGCAGGAAGGGGACAAAGAAGTCAATCAGGTTTTCCTTCACAAGGCGGCTGTGGCCAAAGCCACTGTCTGAAATGAAGACCACAGTTACATGGGAACCTGAATCCCGCTGGAGTGTGAGGTGTCCTGACCCTAAGGCCTGGGCAAGGCTTGCTCTCAGGGCCACTCCAGGAGGACTGTCTGCTCTAGAAAGGGTGCCTAGGCTGACACTGGGTGTGTGCACAGATGCGGCAGGAGTGGGACATGGCAGAAGGTACAGCCACCTTCCCTCTGACTGGAGGCCTAGCCCCAGGGTCCACGGGCCACTGCCAGTATCCCCAGGGCCAGGGCAAACTGCTCTCAAAGCATTTTCAGAAACGAGTGCAGCTTTCTTGGCACTTTTCTTGTGCCTCCCTGAAGTTGATGAGGTGATTACAGGGTGTGTCCTGTGGTCCTGAGTACTCGGTGGGAGTCAGTTACCTGTGGACGCCACAATCTCAGCCTGGAGGCCGGACTCCAAGTGTTCCATCGTGATATCTTCCCGGGACAATCCAGCCTTCAGCAGACCCAGGACCACCTCATTGATGACGTTGCCTCCAAGGTTACTAAAAGAGACAGGAGCTTGTTAACAGTTTCGTCTTTCTATTTAGGCTTCAGGTGGACGGCTTGACACTGAGGCCACTGCACTGGAAGAATGGGAGCTGAGGTCTGGGGCCTCCTCCGGCAAAGGTCTGTACAAAAGAGACATTGTCCGGCCTTGTCACCCTGCCTTGCTCCCTTTTGCCAAACACTTACTGAGACTGCTGGGTGCGGGAGCCCAGAGGGGTGCTGAGGTTCTCTCCGTTGACTTCCATGTGTATGTGACTCCAGGACAGTGTGGCAAGTGCTAATGTAGGAGAAAACTTCAGAGGGAGGGGAAGTTTAGGAGGCACAACTCAGGGGGGCCTGTGACTGAAGCCTGGGAGAGTGAGAAAGGTCATTAAAGAAAACATCTGTTTGCCTTGAGCTGCCTTGCCCTAACGGAAGTGGAATATAGAAGGATGGCGACATGTGCCTATGACATCATTAAGCAACTAGAATTTCAGGTCTGAAGCACAGGAAAGAGGACTGGGTTAGAGATATGGAGAAAAAGGGTGAGAAGAAATCTTAGTGGCACCAACAGGGACGCTGGGAAGGAGGCAGGACACCTGGAGTTGGCAGTGCTGCCTCCCTCTCTCCCCTCCCCTCGGGCTCCTGCAGCTCCTAAACCAACCAGGCTCTCCCTAGGAAGCTCCCAGGTACATTAACTCAAGTGTCTGTTCGTTTGAGTGCGGCCTGTGTGCCAGGCTCTGGGCACAGAGAAGCAGCTGACTGGTTCCATCCATGCCTAGCAGGTAAGCTGACCATCTAGCCGTGACCCAGTGCCTCCTTGCCCAGCTGGAGGGCCTGTCAGCAACAAGAGGAGTCCCTGTCCCGTTGCGTAAGTTCAGCTGCATGTAGGGAAGCTTCTGCCCCAAGGCCTGCCAGGGAGGTCATCACTGCACACGCAAGTGGCTGCACTTGCATCAGCTGAGATAAGACCTGCCCACAGATTGCCCCATCAAGGGCCAGGGGGGCATGTGTAGGACTTGCGTATGTGGCCCCAGGAGCACAGATTCCAGTGCCTTCCCTGTTTCTGCCCAGAGCCATCTACCTGACACGAAGTTTCTGGAGAGCAGGAGCTTAGCCTGTTTATGTGACCACTGTGCATAGCACATAGCAGGCGCTCAGTGGATAGTTTTGTCTCCACTTCCCTCCGAATTTCTCCTCTTGTTTTGTCCTGCAGCCATCATCTCACCACGACATAACCTGGGCCCCTTCTCTGTTCACTCTCCTAGTCCTTAGGAGCTGCTGCGCTGGCACATGTAATCTCACCAGCCCTCAGAGCCCAAAGGCCTTTCCGGAACGCTAATCTCTGAATCTTCATTTCCTTATTTGTAAAGAGATTAGACAATTTAAGATACCCTCCTTAGGTTCTACACAGTCAACATACGTGCATTTTTTTCTTCCTGGGGTACAAGTCCTTTCTCTTCTTTTCCTGACAACAGTGCAGAGAGAACAGCCATGAATGTCCCAGTGAGAAGTGGACAGTCCCTTTGCTCTCGGGAGTTCCAAGGTCCTGCCTGTGGCCACCTGGAGCCTTCCATGCTTGTAGAATAGGTGGAGGCAGGCAGTGTGAGTGTTCTGGCCCAGAAGACTCGGCTCTGAGGGCTGAGGCAGTCTAGGCCCCCACACCCTACATGTCCTGTTTCAAGCACCTCCTCCTGCCATCACACTCCACACAGGTGGTGAAAAACCACCACCAGCTTACCTCCAACAGCAGCTCTAGGAAATGTTTCAGGATGAAACTGCTGTGAGTTGCTCACACTAGAAGTTCGAATCAGCTATGTTTTTCTTTCAGATAGAGGAGTCCTTACACATTCTAGAAATCAAGCCCAGAAACTTGTTAAAGAGAAAAACCAGAGTCACTGTGCTAAAAGCCCCATGGCACCAAGCCCGGACTTCTCTGGTCAGTACCAATGAGGTAACCTGTCGCAGGCCCTCTTCCATCACCAACGGAAGCTGGCCCTGCCAGAAACAGTCCTTTGTTTTGCCAGCTTTCATGTCCTGCCCAGTTTTGCTTATAAAAAGCATTCCGTTGTCCAGATTCTCAGAGCATCTCTGTTTACTAGATGGGATGCTGCCTGATTCAGGAACCGCTTAATAAAGCCTATTAGCTCTTCAAATTTACTCAATTGAATTTAGTTCTTTAACTGATTCAAATACATTGTCTTTCCCTTCCCATCACTAAATAACTGAAAACCGTCAAGGTTTAAAGCAGTGATGGCGAACCTATGACACGCGTGTCAGAGGTGACACACGAACTCATTTTTTTGGTTGATTTTTCTTTGTTAAACGGCATGTAAATATATAAAATAAATATCAAAAATATAAGTCTTTGTTTTACTATGGTTGCAAATATCAAAAAATTTCTATATGTGACACGGCACCAGAGTTAAGTTAGGGTTTTTCAAAATGCTGACACGCTGAGCTCAAAAGGTTCGCCATCACTGGTTTAAAGGGGGGCAACCTTGCTGGCCCTTGGGTGGTGGTATCTGGCCCCCCTGCCACAGGTGTGGTGTCCTCCTTCCTGAGGGCACATAGGCCCACAGGGCACCTTTTCCCTGCCCTGCCTCCATTTATGGTCCGTCTGGGTCACTGGAGGGTGGGGGGTGGGCATGAAGCGGGGGTGTCAAGACCAAAAATACTACAATGGCAAACATTTACATTTGTTTAGAGATACAGCAGGGTCACCTTAGAAATCCTGGCACAGGTGCTGAGAACTAGGCCGAGCCCATGTGGAGGAACAGTCAGCTGCAGCCACAAGGCAGAGTTGGCTCAGGTGAAGTGAGAGGAAGGAGAAGCTAAGCACAAAGTCAAAGGATTTCTACAAAAGCAAAAGAGAATCATGAGCTGGTCACCAGAATCCTTCCATGGGGGAAGGACTGGTGTCTGCAGCAGTTCAGAGGGTTCCCTGGGCGCCCACCACCTGGCAGGGCTTAGGTGGAGAAGCCATAAGGAGCCTCCAGGCTGCCTCAGAAGGTGGTCAGTAACACAGAGCCAATCATATCAGCAAATCTGCTTTTCTCTTAAAACCACCTTGGTCGGCCTCCTGCCCTCCACAGCTCATCCTTCACACTCTCCAAACCTGTATGCACCCTAAAGCTGGGGAAAATCCCCTAGCAAGCATGTACTAGCCTGGGGAGGGAACAACTGGTTTGTCTTCCACTGAGTGCAAGAAGCGGCTTGTGAAGCATTCAAGTTGGGCCAACAGGGACCCAGACTTTAACAGACCTTGGGCAGTACATTCCCAGTTGGAGCCTCCATAAAATAAGGTTGGACAAGTCGATTTCTAAGCCTGTTTTCAGCATAGCCTTTTCCAGAGCCTGGAGCACAGCACAAAACAGGAAAGGTCCTGTGTGGTGGGCTTGCAAATAGGGAGAGACAGAGCACTTCTCATTCAACACATGATCCCTGAATTTCAAGCCAGTAACTTCCTCTCATGATCAGAGAAGAAAAAGACTTTCCAAGGATGGGGAGAGAACACACCATGTTGGAGTTAGTGGGAAACTACCCTTTGGGTCTACATTAAGAATTTTCCAAGGTAGTTTGTACTTGATTTTGAACTAATTTGCTGACTTGAAAACTTAATGCCCTACTAAGAGGGGATTCCCAGTATATGAGTTACATTTCAGACTGTATTACAAAGTTACAGTAATCAAAATAGTGTGATAACTGGCATAAAAACAGACCCATAGATCAATGGAATAGAACACAAAACTCAAACCCACACGTATATGGTCAATATATGACAAAGGAACCAAGAATAAATTAATGGGAAACTAGACCACCATCTTATACCGCACACAAGAATGGACTCGAAATGGATTAAATACTTGAATGTAAGATCTGAAACTCTAAAATTCCTAGCAGAAAACTTAGCTGGTAAGCTTCTTAATATTGGTCTTGGTAATGATTTTTTTGGATCTGACACCAAAAACAAAAACAAGCAAAAATAAGTACGACTCCATCAGACTCAAAAGCTTCTGTACAACAAAGGAAACCAACAAAAGGAAGAGGCAACCTACTGAATTGGAGAAAATACTTGTAAGTCATATATCTGATGGGTTAATATCCAAAATATATAGAGAACATAACTCAATAGCAAAAAAATACACATCCCAAACAAGCAGATTAAAAAATGGGCAGAGGATCTGAATAGATCTTTTTCCAAAGAGGATATACTGATGGCCAACGGGTACACAAAAAGATGCTCAACATCACTAATCATCAGGGAAGTGCACAATGAGACATCACATACCTGTTAGAATGGCTGTTATCAAAAGGATGAGGTAAATGCTGGTGAGGATGTGGAGAAAAGTGAACCCTTGTGTACTTGGTGGGATTGTGGACTGGGGGTCTGAGGGGAATCCCACCATCCTGAGAACAATGCGGGAGGCTAGATGAGAGGCAGCTGCTCTTCCCCACGCCAGTCCTCCAAGTGAGTTTGTACTTAGCTGGCCATTGCGGGGCGGGGGGGGGGAGTGGGGACCACAGTCCTTCAGAAGTGCCCTGCGGTAGAATCGGGGCAGGAGCCGGAGACTTAAGGCTGCCCCCCGCCCCTGGCGGTGACACCCCAAGCAGCTAGGTTTCTATGTTCTCGACTACAGTTGTATTGGTTTCCCTTGTGGAAAAGGGTCTGCAGTCTAGGAGAGCACAGAAGCCCTCTATGCACACACAGCACCCAGACAGAGGTTCTTCCTCCTGGTTTTCCTCAGACCTTACCTGAGAAAAAGAAAGATGGTTCTCGAGGACTCAGCCCTGTGGTTCTCCAGGACCTGGCGTTCCAGATGTGGCCCCAGGGCCTCCAGCAGTCCTGGGTGCAGCTTCTCAGCCTCATCAAAAATGAACAGGGTCTGGTGGCAGTGCTCCTGCGTCTTCCTCACCTGTTCTGTCAGCTGCTCCTGCACAGAATACAGGGAGCAGCTGGGGACCCCTGGGAGGCACATTCAGCCCGGAGGGCCCTGGTGAGGCGCCCTTTTAACCTGGGGAAGCACCTGCAGTGGATCGCCTAGGGCTAGGTTCTACCCTGAATTACCAAATTCAAACTGGTGGAGGTGGGGCTAGCCTGGGAGAGGGAGAAGGTGAGGGCCTTGCCTGCCCTTGGTAACAGGCCCTGCTCCCTCCCCTCCAGGAAGAGGTCCCAGAACTAACAGCCAACTCACCCTCCCCAAGGGGTGGGAATCAGGCTCTGATACAAGGGTCAGAGGTAGAGACAAGCTCAAGTGCCAGAGGCCGCCACAGTCCCATCTTGAACTTCTAGGAGCAGAGTGCCCACTGGGCTAACTCGGGGAGGAGCCTGGGAAGGACCTATGTGGGTCTGCTTGGCCTACTTGGAACTGGGGCTCCCCATTCAGGCAAGAATAGTTCTCAGTTGAAAAGATGCCGCTTTGTGGGGTTTACCAGATCAGGGCCAGCTCTGCCCCAGGGTGGGGTGTTTTAGCAGAGCCCACACTCACTGTCGCCTCTAGCCTTCCTGGATCCTGACTTCAGTGCCCTGTGACCTTGAGTGTGTGTGTGTGATGAGACGTGCGGGGTGTGAGTGTGTACGTGTCATTTTTCATGGTGAGGAAGCCACAGTCAAAGCCAGCTAGTTTTTCTGGGAAGGCCTGGCTGACCAGCTGCCTGCCCTTAGGACAGTTCACCCTAGCCTGCCCTCCGAGGCCACACTGAAACTGCCAGGTGACTCAGGCAATCTCTCCTCAAATGCTTACCTAATCTTCCCAGGTTACCGCATTCCAAATACTGGACCTGAAAGCCAGAGACAGACACTCACCTCTGTGAGGCTGCAGTGGGGTTTTGGTCATTGTCCAGCTTACTTTAAATACTACATCTCAGTGGAAGAAACCCAAAATAGAGCAGCAAAGACAATTTTTGTCCCTCCACTTGTTGGGGGAAATCACTTATAATATGATAGACTTCTTTTAAAAAACAGGATTTGCCACTTTCCACTATAATGACAGTGACATCACACAGCATAGGGAAAGGCTTGCAGGAAGCACACCAAAATGCTAACTGCCTGTGTGTGCGTGGGGAGGTCACGATAAAGCCTTTGCCTTCCTCTGTTCCACATTTCCTGTGACTTCCATTACTATCACAGAAAATTAACACGCAGAATCTTTTTAAGCTCCGTGTCTGTCGGGGAAGGAAACAGCTCTGGATGAGTGGTGTGGAACATGTCTGTCGTCCACGTGTTCAGGGCCTCATCTGTGTGGAGTAGAGGTTTCTGTGGGTTACAGGTTCTGTTGAAATGGACCCTGTCCACCTAGGCTTCTCCAGGGCCCACCCCCCAGCACAGAGGGCTGCGCCTCAGGCCGTCCAAGCCTCACTCCAGCCCCAGCACTGCCCAGCCTCACCTTGTACAGGTCCACATACTGGGGGTGAGGGAAGTGGATCATGGTGATGAACACCTTGACACAGTCACTCCTCAGCCCGTCCCGGTACAGGTTCTCCGCCAGCAGCCGTGCCACAAAGTTCTTGCCTGTGCCAGACCAGCCGTGGAACGACAGAGCCAGAGCCTTGTCTGGCCGGGGCAGCTCCAAGTAGCTCTTCACTGTTGTCAGGACCAGCTCCTGGGCCAGATGCTGGCCGTGCAGTCGCACACTCAGGTCCGACTGTAGGCCTAGGGGTAGGAAAGAGGAGGCCACAGTGAGAGGTGCACACAAGTGCAGTCCCCACCAGGCTCAGCAACAGCCGAGAGAGTGAACACCTCTGAACATCACTGCGGTGGGATCACTTTGGCCTCAGAACAAGCCACTGGGCACACCTAGCACCAGAAGGGATCCGAGGGCTATTTTCTGAAGAATTTGAGAAGTCACCATTGAACTTAGGGAGAGAATGGATTCATCCTTTCTGAAGGCCCTGAAGACCCCCAGAATGGTTGGGAGAGTCCTATCTGGAGGAGGAACCTCACACCCCATGCTCGCGGTCACTCCCACCTGGAAGTTTCAGAACTCCCTACATATTTCATGGAACACTCTCACTTTATTCATTTTAACTCAATTCAGTAGACACCTGTTGGCAGTGTGTGCAAAGCCTTCTGGTAGGCTCTCTCTCCTCAGCCATGAGGCTGCAGGGTTTGGAGATGGGGGCCGTGGTGGGGACAGGAGAGAGTGCTGCCAACTGGGGGA